TTAGTACTGACTGGGCTCAAATATATTTGTTATTGTGTTTTTATTTTCCTATCCTCCTTCCCATTAATAAAGAATCTCGATATCACCCGTAAGGGCATTTTTCGATTCACTACTATCCACTGGAGTACCGATTAAGGCATCGGTCGCATCAACAATAATCTAAGTAAATAATTAATCTGTTGTAAGAAAGAAATAGGTAAGCGATACTTCCTTTCATTCGAAATGGTACAGAAAATATGATTGTTTCGCAAATGTGAATTTTTTTCTTATCGAATAATTGAACTTTTTTTAAAGAATCATTTGTGTGACATCCTACAAATGTTTTCTACGCAAATATTTATTTATTATGGAAGTATAACGAAACAGCTTCTTCGATAAATAAACTTGTTTGTTGTAATCGTAATATTTGCATTCTGTTGCAAAGAAATAAATACAAGAAAATATTTTTCTGGCGTAATCCAGAAATAATTGCTATGTAAACATTTTTTTAGAAAATATCAGTTCACGTAAATGACAAACGATTTGAAAATTATAATTATATTAAGCAATAATAAATATTATTTATTAGCAATATTTACGCTCATCAAAGTAAAATAAATATCTTCTTAATTATTACAAGGTATTATTTATGCGTGGTATTCATTAGGTGTTTTTAAGGTTTTTAGACATTCCCAGAAAAGTTGGATTTTTCGTGTTATACAAAAAAATTGGCATTATTTATATAATATGTATAATTTTAAATGAGAAGTTGTATTGTCTTTGTGTTTCCTTTTTTTATTTTATTGACAAATTCGCGATGCTAAAAAAAGTTAAAATATTCAACAAGCATTACTATCCAAGAAAGTTACGCTTTTTCATGCTATCAATACTTAAGACAATAGGTCAAAACAGAAGAATATAAATTTAGGAATAGAAAGAGAGAGATGCATAAGGAAAAATAAATGAGGAAACTAAACGAAAGGGAAGAGAAAAACACTAGATGCAAAATTCATGCTTTTTTTACTTCACCCAAGCATTTGTATAGATCGAGAGCTGTTGTTTTTCATGGGTTGTGATTTTGTCGAGTGAGAGCGTGAGAAATTGGAACAAAAGGTGTTGTAGGGGTAACGGGTGAAGCACTGTATAGGGTGGGGAAGAAAAAGAAGAGGGGTGCCGAGTAAATCGATAAAATGAGGGTCGTGTACGTAGGATGAGAGTAAAATAAAGGCGCAAAACTTTCGGTGATAGCATCACTCACGTAGTAGGCTTAACCGTTATACAGTTCTACTATTACTATTATCCTATTATTACTAATCGTTACTGCAACCTTGCTAATATTTCTATTATTACTACAATGACAAGCTACTTCTACTATTATTAATGTCACTACTAATTATTATTTCTACTATCCATTTATTTTACTATTACTTTTACTACTACTGTATCTACTATTACTTACTATTACTACAATAACTACAACTGCTATTAATCACTATTACTACTACAATTATCATCACTACTATTATTACTATCACACCTCTACTGCTATGATTACTATTACTAGCTACTACTATTATTATTACTACCATCACATCTACTATTGTTATTATTTTTATTATTACTATCATCAAATCTACTATTGTTATTATTTTTATTATTACTATACTACAGTTATAACTCTTATACTTTACTATCTACTCTTGGGCTATCAGCAAGGTTTTCGTAAGTAAAAAAGAAAAGCTTATCGTTGATAAAAATCAGAAAATACGGTTGAGTCACAACGAAACTTTAAAAATAATGATAAATTTCTTTTTTTTCTACTTTTTCTTTCTGATCCCATTAAGAATCTAACAAAACTTTCCGAAAGATCAATGTGTTTGTGAAATGGAAGCTTTAACGTTCTTCTCTATGTACTCTTCCACTCCTTTACTCTTCTCTATGTACTCTTCCACTCCTTTACTCTTCTCTCTTTTTCTCTCGAACTTTTCTTAGGAGGACGAAAGCTGTTTGACCTTTTGTGACTCAAGCTTGACGACACTTTAACAAATTCACGGGTCGTCGTATCGTAACGAAGTCGGTTACTCTATCCTTTAGACATTTTTTTCGTGAGCGTTGGATTATGATCGGGAAAAAGGTAATGTATACGATATCATTTTTACGATTTCGCAAAAAGTGCTTTTATTTTTATAATTTTACTTAAAACGACGATTACGTAGTCAAATTTTTTTCTCTCTCTTTCTCTCTGTCTCTCTCTTTCTTTATCTCGCTCTTATTTTTTTCAAATTTAACGAAATGTTAGATGCCGAGTTTTTTAAATTAGAAAAAAGAGAGATGATTTTTTCGATTAAATTTCAATTATAGAAGGAAGTGTTATATGATTGCATATACATACATATATGTATAAACCTGTATATGGCTAAACCTGCTCCAAAAAAATATAAGAGAAACAAGTATATAAAATCGATAAAAATCTCGTAAAAATAATATAATTCGTGAAAAGATATATGACTATTACTGACCTATATCTGTTGTCAAGATTTAACGAAGTTCAATTTTTTTAAACGGTTTATACATCAAGTACGGCAATGTGATCGTAAAGAAATGTAGTATTAGGCGAATGATGAGAAATATTAGTATAATTTTAAATGAGAAATTTGTATCGCTGAGTTTTTATTTTCTTTAATTTTAATGACTCATTTGCGATACAATATAAAATTTATTATATAATTCATTAAAAATTATATTATTATAACATTAAAAAAATTATATAAAGAATATAGTATTGTAGAAATATTATTATTGGGAATTTTTATTCTAATCACATTAACAACTTGCTCAGCATGTGAATAGAACGAAAGTCTTATTTTAACTACAGAATGTTAACGTATTTTATACGGGCAACACTATTCTTTATATTTTATCCTTCCTAACATGTATTAAATTTATCTTTCATTTTTTATCTTTATGATATGTATGATGTATTTAAATATATATATGTTACCGTCAAAGCGGAAAATCAGGCAATACTAGTAAATTCTCGTCATTACTATGAATATGAATAGTCCACTCAAATAAAGGAAAACTGGGAAAATTTGGTAAATTTAGAAAAACTTGATTTTGACGGTCTCATTTTATTTTCATATTTAAAAAAATTCATAAACAAAACGTCGAAATATCGGTCGTCATACCGGGCTACTACTTTCAAGATCCGCTGGTCGTAAGCGAAGCTGCCGGCGTCGAGTGAAAAGTCTGAAGTAGCGCTGCCGGCGCCAAGCGAAGAAGTTTTTTCGAAAAGCGGTTGTCAAAGTTTTAACAGAAACTGTTATTATTTAGTCAATAAATTATGTATTTTAGGAAATTTTAAATTCCTAAAATACATAATTCCTAATTCTATGCTTCTCACGCGTGTTGCTACCGTTCGATTCTTCGTGAGGGAATTATTTATCTTTTCTTTTCCGATACTACTTATGCTAGCGTGCCACTTGATAAGACTTCAATTTTTTTCTTACAAATATATATAATTAAATAATATATAAATAGTAATATA